TTTGTTTGAAAACTTGATTTTTTCACTTTTTAGAGTAGTCCGAAGTTTTTGGATTTTTTCGATCGAAAAAACGTTTTCAAAAAACGTAAAAGACACATATTCGTGATCAACGTCAAATTCTCTATCGGACAGGCTAAACAAAAACGGCAATTTTTTTTTTCACTTTAACCGTGCTTTATGTGCATCTTAGATAGAATATAGAAACACTGCGAAGCTCCAGTCGCCACTACTTGTTAGATCGCTTTTGGATAATTCATCTCTTAAATGTGTGAGTATCGTCTCTGTTTGTCGTAATAGACTTGCATGTAGGTAATCTATCATAATAGCGATGGAAGATCTTTTTCGAATAAATTTGATATTATTGAATTTCCATAATGTCCGTAGTAATCGTTAGTCGGGTTGCCTTTCATAGCAAAACGGTGGAAATCCTGGGGTGAACGTTTCTGTAAAGGACGAGTGTACGGGTATAGCATTTTTCTATCGTGCTCACCTAAACGATAGAACAAACGAAACAAACGATTTAAGAAATTTTTAGTTTTCACTAGACTTAGCTGACTGCTTTATAAATTACCTTGTTTGAAGCAGAAAAAGCGGGCATAGTAACCGGGATGCCCCTTGAAGTTTAAAATCATTGACAAGGCCGGTAAATCTCCAACTATACCCAAAAATACGATGTTGTAACGAACAGATGAAGAGTGGCCGACCACATCTTTTGTTTCTACTATTAATCCATTGAATTTCAAATCTTCTAATTCTTTAACTATTTCCGTTAGCCATTCAATGACGTTTGATTTTCCACAGCCTACATATGCTGAAAGAAGAATTGTGTTCGTTCTTCTTTTACGTAGCTCCGGACGAAGTTCGACGAGTGATGCGGGAAAACTCCATAAACCAAGTTGAGTAGACTTAATTAATGTAACTCCATCCAGGTGTAAGAGTAAGGAAATAAATTTGGTCTGACCTAGTATCCTTTTAACATGTTTACAGCGATCCCCGCTGATTATATCGTCAGGAAATTCATTAGCATTCGCTGGAAACCATTCAATTTCTCGTAAATTACGACGAATCACATGCCGAAGAAGTTCTTTAGGTTCTGCGTTAAATATCGTGAAACTGTTAGAAGATTCGTTGAAAGTATGACATGCATATGTACAATAGAAAATAACGGCACATATAAGAATTCGAATACTACCTATTAACTCCGGCGTACTGCTGTGATTCAATAACCTTTCGGACCAAAGTCAATTTTCACTCGGAAAGTTTTAAAGAGACTTCTCATTTGCACTAAGTTCATTTTAAAAAAAAACGTTTTATTTGTTTTCACAGAGTAAACTGGGTCTCTTCGCTTCAAAAGCCTATTAGGCACAACTTCAGAATTTATTCGATCGATATGTATGAAAATAGTAATCTTTTAAACTATGGAATAGACGTTCGCACATTACTTTTTATTACGAATGAACAAGCCCATAAAATTTTCTGTTGTTGCCTGTGGAAAACTATATTTCAGAATACCTCTGAAAATCAGATCTGTTAAGGAAAACGGCTCTGACATTTTAAAAATAGCAGCACAATTCATCGCTTTATCGAGTAATAATTGCACTAGCAAGGTCAGGCAAAGATCGAATGATGTAACCACAGAGTAAAGTAAAACAGTAAACACACCTGTGATTTCCTGAAAACAGTTTGAGCATTTGATTATTTTTGTGAATCGATTTGTGATGTTTAAAGACTTGATCAGTTTACCAAAATTTGTCGGTAAAGAATCAGACTATGGAAGAATGCTGGCAATAAATTTTAAAAATGCATTAACAGTGGCTTTAGAAATTTTTGCTTGACGACAAATTCTGAGTAACTCTTCACAGGCTTCCGATGTGCTTTTACTTGTGAAAAGATGCAACAGATGTAAATCTTTCTCAATGCTATCTGTTAATGATATATCATTCTGTGTCTCCATATAATCTACATCATCATCACCGTCTAGACAAAACAAAAACATAACACCGAGACATATTCCACGTTCTGTTAGAAGAATCTAAGAAGCATTATTAGGTCTTTATCGATTTAAACCGCTGACTGATGCACATTCCTGAAAAACTCTTTTTTTTCATAAATTTTGACGCTGGATAGGAAAAACGACGAAGTCAATTATATAAGTCGAAGTTTTTAACACACCTAAAGCTTGAATATCTTCTGCTTCATCACATAAATAATCAGTTAGACGTTGGTATCCCGTATCTGCATCCAACGAAAAAATGGACTAAGTAAACGACGTTCGTGAAAGTTACTTATTTTCTGTAGCAGATAGATTTGTATGCTGAAATTGTGATGTGACTATATTGAAACTTGATGACAGTAAGAAGAAAGTGAAATAAGTCCTGGAAAGAGAATGCATAAACTGCACGTAGCACTTTACTTTGCTTTCAAAAAGTAGCCTTTCAATGAAGTGTTAGGTTTTCAAGAATTTTAGATGGCCTCTCATACTTTAAATTCGTTTTCTCCATCGTCGTCATGGAGTTCTCCACAAACTTCTACCCCTCCCAAACGTATGAAAAAAAAAGCGAGTCTTGAGTGTTCTTCATATATTATGTAAGAATGGCTTTTTTGTCATTATTGTAACTGAACATAACAAGAAACCCTTAAATTGACTGTTTGACTTGGGACAAATTTTGAACAGATTTCTTATGTATAAGACTCAGTGCTTTGTTTGCTGAGAACTTTATTCTTTTGCACGTTTGTATGTGCCAAAGGGTATGTCTATGTCTATGTGTCTGAAACTCCCCAATTGATGAATAGTCAATTTCAGTTCATAACAATGGTTTACTCTTCTACTGTCATGTGGTTTGCTGTTTATTGATGAAACTTGTTTTCGTTCTCTACTTCTTCTACTAGCGAAGAATAAGTGGCTATCGTATGAATAAACGGCTATTGCCTATGCATTAGAGAAAAAACAAACTCTAAACGATAATCGCCTGTTGGTAAGGAAAAATATAAGACAGACGATAGAAAATATCAAACCTATAATAACGCGTAACTTTCAGAATAACTTTCAGCGTAACTTTCAGTAGTGGCCAGTTTTGTCGACTATGTCACGTATCATATGAGTAAAGACTGATTCCTTTAACGAAAATATCGTTTCCTCAACGAACAACAGATGAACATGATCGTCTGGTGCAAAAAGTTTTACAGATAAACAATGGCACGATACTGGAAGGCGTGGCTGATCTTAGTCCGTTGTCAACATTGATTGGTTTGCACGCCGTAACATCGTTACCAAACGACATCATGCACGACTTCGCTGAAGGTAGAAGAAAAATCAAGTTTACATTTGTATCTCACTATTCTTTTTTCTTTGTTTAGGTGTTTGCTGTCAAGTAATGATTGTAATGTTGAAAGAAGCATCGACAAAACGAATTTTCACGTATGGTCAGGTCGAACAAAGGCTGTCCATATTTGAGTATGGTGCCAATGACAAATCAAACAAACCACCTATCATTCGGAAAAAACATTTAAATAAAAGAAGAATCGTCGGTAGTGCATCACAGAAAATGTGTTTATTTCGATTATTTCCAATTATATTCAACGATATTATAGATCAATTGGATACTAAGCAGATTTACATATGTCTTCGTGAAATTGTTGGTCATGTTTATGCCTGTCCATTTCGAAAATCATGGCTCTCATATTTACGGTCATTGACAATTCGTTTCCAGTGTTTAATGGTTCACCATGTTCCAAATCGCGTCATCGCTAAAGTACATTTTTTGACAGATTATGCAAAACATATCGAAATGAACGGTCCATCTATCCGATACTGGTGTATGAGATTTGAGGCAAAACATCAATATTTCAAGCAACTGGCCGTCAGATCGAATAATTTCAAAAACACATTGTTCACATTGTCGAAGCGTCGTCAGCTAGGTCAATGTCTTCTATTGTCGTCGCCCAATTACTACAATATCATCGACGAAGGCTATTCATGCAAGCAAATGACACTGAATAAATTATCAGCGTCAATTCGCAAATTATTATATCAGAATATCCAGGGTTTCGATCATAGAACATCTATCGTTGAATATCAGCGATTAAACCATGATCATGTTACATTCATCAAAGGATCGGTTTTTGTTGAAAACCTAGTACACGAAGAAGAAATACCGTCTTTTGTTCATTTAATTTTTATTCTTAATATCAAAAATACGTGGATTTTAGTGGTTGAAGAACGTTTAACTATGGCTTTCAATGAAATATTTTGGTCGTATGAAGTTGAACAAACACATAAACTATCGATCCAACAGCCCAGTCAGTTAACTGGTATACTAGCGAAAGGACTTGATATATATGAAGTGGGCAATGTATCTTATGTCAACATCCTTCCACGTCTCACCAAACAGTAAATAATAAGCCATAAACACAAAACATTTATACAACTGTTCTTAGAGAGATGTAAGTGAGATGTGCAATTTGGTTGTGGGGCGCCAACTCGAACAGAAGATTGTTTATTTCTTTTCCTAGATCCAATCCAGTAATTTCTAACCATGTGTGTGTTTTTCTTCTTTTCACAGGAGAAGATATAGATGGTGAAACTCTATTTAATTTACCACAATCAATGCTATTTGAAATCGTTACAACAATGAAAGAGCGTGTACGTTTTCTAACGGAACATCGTGCTTTGTTTTCAAATGTACTCAAAATCGATCGTGACAAGACATTAGCTGAAAGACATTATGATGATTTGGTAGATAATAATGAACAACAAGCGGCTAAAGAAAATCGTGTGACTAGCCCTCCAACAACTACGACAACGATCATACATTCCTCCAATGACCTAGAAGACGATATTCCAACATTTGATCTGTCTATGGATTGCCAAACTGTGGATGTGGAAACAACAGTAGCATCAAAAGGAGCTAAAGATGAAGAAAAAGATGATAACGAAGACGGACAAAAGTTTCCGAATGTTTATGTTATCCCAGATTTACCAGCAAAAATTCAACGGATGGTGAACAAGCAGGAAACATATCAGTTTCGTGGTCATTCAAATGCTCGTCGATTATTGCTTGATGCTATTTTCACGGATGTTATAGTTAAATATTCATTACTGTAAATATTCATTAAATTGTTTTCCGAAACAGAATATGAACGCCTTTTTTTCTTCTGTATTCTACCTATCCAAATACAATACAGTACAAATCAATGACAAAAGCGATACTGAAGTTATTAAATATACAAAATGCAAAGGAAGCACAGGTGAGTGAACTGTTTGTTTATGTTTAGTGAATAAATGAAAGCATGATGTTTTTCTTTTCTCTTTTCAGGAGGAATGGACCGAAAGTCTGAAAAGTAAATTCAAAAGAGAGCGTTATCTACTTCAAGAAACATATGAAGAAGTCCAGAAAATGAAAATGAAATGTGGCAATACCTCGGGTCGTCCGATCAAACGACGCACAAATGAAGTTGCTCCCCGTCGTGAAGTGAATATAGTGAGCTTTTATTAAAAAACTTGATTCAAAGTAAACTTTGTTTTTGTATTTTTATTTCAGATTCAAATAGATGACTTTATGAAAAAAATGGACGACGACGATGATCATCAAGATATAGATAAGAATATACAATTAATGAAGAACGAACGAATTGGGACAACAAAGTTTTAGTTTGGATAATGTCAAAGTTTTATGGAGAAAAACATTGGCTGCAAGAAGATTATATGTTTCAAACCACACGACGAAAGAAGTACTTCAAGAGTATCCCGGTTATAGACACATTGCGTTGGTGAGTATCTTCATGATCGTTTAACGAGAAACAGTTTTCTCTTATTGAAAAAGAGTTTTTTTAAAGATTTTTGATGAAATACAATATTTGTGTCGCGTCAATATTGACGAAAATGTAACAACAATGTTGCCAAAATTATTTCAAAATATGTCAGATAATTCGGGTTACGTTACTGGTAAGCTCGTTATTCTTTGCTGAAAAGTTACGTATTTGCTCGATTCTATTTCCTATCTGTTTAGAATTACTAACTATTCGTTTGATTAAACTGTTGTCCAAACATTTTACTGATTCATGGGAATATATTCTGACTGAAAAAGTGAGCAGATTTGTTTCTTATTACACACAAAAAGTGAAGGTGTACCCTACTCGGACCGAGTGTGCCTCCTAGAGCCCACACGTTTTACATATCTTTGCCTTTGCTCCGTTATTTAGGAACCATTGTCTCCTTGTCCAACTATTCAAGTAATAACTGATAAATTCAGAATATTTTTGGATTATGAACTAATTACCGAGACAACATCAGTGGATCGTGCATTGGCTGCCATTATTTCGTTATACGTTGTGTTCGACTTGCAATTCGGTGTTCATAATCGTACCATACATTTATTGTATGGAGTATTATTACAAGAACCAGCGGCATTAACAAAACAATTGAGAAATTTATTAATAGAATGGAAATTCAAGATTAAGCATAAAGAACTACGACAAGCGGCAATATACAGTATCCACATTTCGTATCAACGATTGAGAGAACACAACAAAACACAACAATACACCTCGTTCGTGAAAATGAATATCAAACTGATAATCAGAGAGATGAAAACGAACAAGAAACTTTGACAACAATACTCGATAAATATCCCGCAAGCGAAGAGGAAAATACAGTACCAACATTGACACTGTCCAAAAGTCCTTTTCGGATACAACTACAACATGCACAGTTGGTGTTACCACAGATCGTGTTGCCGAGCACCCAGTCGGATCATCGTCATCGTTTACTACAACGCCACCCATTGATAATCCATCAGTCTTACCTCCTCCACTAACAACACAACAATCGTCCTCATCTTATCGTCTTCCTTTATCGCCTCTCGATGGAAACGAGAAAAAATATGGAAATCAACGTACAACTGCAACAGCAAATACGATTCGACACAGAAGAAGCAACGCTGGTTAGACCAGCATTGAAAAAAATCGTAAATAACATTAAATTATCCATGTTCGAAGAACAAAAGCAAAATAATAATAAAAATGGACAATCAGAAAATCTGGCTGCATCAGATAAAGATCCTGCCGCAGCCACAGCAATGTTTTTTCAAATGATCAAGAGAACGTCATTGGCCAAGATGAAATACTACCGACAACTACAAAAAAACAAATGCCAACAACAAGGAAACGTCGTGGTAGCTCTTCTGTGCCAGTATCAAAAACGTCAGAATATTTACGAGCTAAAAGGCCACGTCACTGACTTTGTTTCTTTTTTTCCGTCACTCTTTTTTGTGCCTTTGGTAAGGTGATATGTTTTTACAGTAGGCAGAGTCAGCTAATTGTTTTGATTATTTTCTTTTTTACTCTCTTTGACAATCCTTATTCACACATGTTTTTATTATAATAAATTCAAGACCAAATATACAAAAGGGAACTGTATGAAATCCATACACAGAATCCTTACAAAACCTCTACGGGTTCATACGGAACCTTTTTCTGAAAGCAGAAAAAAAGGTATCGTACAAAACCTTATTCGTACAGAACCTAAAAAAGGTTTAGAAATAGTTTCAATTCTCGAAACCCTTTTTAAGTTCCGCACGGCACCTTTTTTTTGAGAGAACTTTCTATTATCTCATTAACTTTACACGAATTATAGTTTCCAGCAAACCAT